CCAGAGAAGTCCATTCGCCTAAAACAGGTATACAGTTGAATTTTAACTTGATAAACTGACGCCTCAACTGGCTTGTCTGTTTTGCTGTGGAATCCGTTTTCAAATTCTTTTCATTTTGCTTTGATTACTCTCTCAATGCTCATGTTAAACTATTCTGGTTGCCATGTGCGCAGGAAGCTGTTCTCATTCAAATTACATCTGTTTTCTCGTTTTCTCACTGTCTCTTCTCTCTCACACACACATACATCGCAAACATTGAGAACCACCCACCTCCCTCCATTTGGCTCTTAACTCCTCCTACAGCCTGGTGCTGCCAATTTTGCTCCTCGCAGAGTCACTGTGGGTTTGGAGGGCGGGCGTGATTAGAACCCAGCACCTGCATTTAAGCAAGGTTTGCAGCTGTGTTGTGTGTCGTGCGTGTGTGTGTGTGTCTGTGTCTGTGTGCATGCCAGTAATGGGTTCCATCCTCATTACCCCATAATCCCCAGCTGCTGTGCAGTGCTGACTGGGTTCCTGGAGAGAGAATTCCAAACTTGCCACCGGATTTACAGTGAATTCCCTAAAGCGTCCCACTGGATTTCCACCCCATTCTGGATATTGTAACTCTAAGACTGCAACTAATGATTATTTTTGCCAATAATGGGGTTAATGCGTAGAAAATCGTGTTGCTTCTAAACAATGAATGAAAGAAATGCTTCCCTAAACATTTGCTCAACTCCAATTTCCTTTGTATGTTACGCATCATGCATCCTGGAGCCTTTTCCTCTATATTTTGTCTAACCTCAATAGCGGTGGCTACTAGTGTTGACTCTCACTAGGCTGGCTATGGATTCCAAATTCCCTCCCAAATAGAAGAAAATAGAGAATTCAATAGTGCGTGGACAGATTTGTTTGCTTTCACCTCAAACACTGCTGCCTTACTGATATGCTTGATCTGCCATGTGAAATTAGCAGGATAAGCCTCAAATATCTTTTGCGGCTCCAGACAGATTTTGTTTGTTTGTTTGTCTTTTGCCAAATAAAATATCTTATGATACAAAAGGTTGCTGACCCCTGGACTAATCAATTAATCCTTTTGGCTGAAAATTTAAAAAAAAAAATAATGAAACATTTCCAAGGGTAACTGCAAATTCCTAGTTTTTTCTGGCCAACAGTCCAAAAGCTAGCCTGTTAAAATGATAAATAATTTGATAAAACTGCAAAAAGCTAATTTAAAAACACACCATTTAAAGTGTATGGATTCTACTTTTGCTTTTTTTTGCTTTAAATATTTCCAGATTTATTCAGCACCTGTTAAACAACTTTAACCCTCCAAGCGATCCAATAAATTGACAGTATTTTCCATATGTTTTCCCTCTTCGTTGCCAGTAGATTTCCACTTGCCAACTGGTGGTGACAGAGGTTTGGAGATCATATAGAAATCTAAGCAGGCCAACCAAGAAACATGAATTAATTGGTCAGAGCCTTCTAGCTAGTTCAGTAGTTTGTCACAGAAAGATCACAGAGTTGAAATGAAACATTAGTAGTGAATAAGTTTTCTTAAGTGCAAATGTCAGCCTCTCACTGCTCCTAGCCTCTTATCCTCATCTTGTTTCTCATTTTCTCTCTTTTTACAGGTTTGTTACAGACAATAGTCTAAAAATGACAAGTAATAGATAACAGCTGCTGATGACTCTTAATTACCTGTAAATTTTACAGATTTACTATTTCTTCCTGCCTATGCTCCTTTTATTGTATCTCCTTCACCTCTTTATCTCTCTCCTTGTCCTTGTTTTCATCTGCATCTCTCCCTCATTACTTTATTCACACTTACTCCTTCCCTCCCCTCCTTCCCTTCCATCTTATCTCTGCCTTTCCCCTCTCTGTCCTGCCTTCTTCACCTCCACATCACCTCTCCACTGCTCTTATCTCTGCCTTGGTGACATTATCGGGGGCAGTGGGGCCAAATGCTGATCGACGGATTGATCTGCTGATATAAGCACAGGTATATAGGCTCCGAGACGGACAGCAAGCCAGATTAGCTGGCAGGCAGACTTGTAACCATAAAACATCTAAAAAGACAGAGAGGGGGACATATGGACAGACGGGGCAGCTGGCAGTCTTGACATGTTGGTAGGCTTTGCAGCAGAGGAGAAGCAGACAAAACGGCTGTGGCTATCAAGAAGGGAGACATTTGAGACATGTAGCTCATACGCTTATCCAGAGTGACTTACAATAAGTGTAGCAGAATAAGTTGAAAACCGGCAGACAGATGACAGATAGGTTGACAGATGAGTTGACAGAGAAGCAGAAATGCAATGTGCGTGCACTCACAGACACACTCTCAGGACGGATATGGAGCCAGGAGGGGCAGAAGCAGACATCCCAAGCATGATGGGCATGTAGTTAGTTAGACACTTTCCATTGCTGACCACCCAAATTGACACACACATACGTCAGCTTGGAGACCACCAGCACACTGTGTGTGTGAGAGAGCTCTGTGGAAGTATTTATGTACAAATCTGTATTTGATTCAGTCTGTCTGTCTCCGAGTTTGTGTGCACATTAACATTATCTCCAGGCAACAGGTCGGTTCTGTGATTGGTTGGGGGTTGTGAAGCCCCACCCAGTCAACTATGCATATTAATGAGTGTCATTATGATACTCAGTAAGAGTAACATGATTCTCTCTGAACACATTTTAACAAGTACATGCTTCAGTACACATTATTTTGAAGTATATTAATCCAAAAAGAGTCCTGAAATTCTTGATATATGCACTGATCTAATCTCACATTTATATATTATGTACATACAGAAACAAGCATAAATACACTTACTAAAACAGAACAAGTAAGATTATATTTGAAAAACATAAATGAAAGAAGAAAAATGAGTCAGAGGGGTTGATGGAGAAAGAATGAGAAACAAATGCAGACGGACCAGAAGAGACAGAAAGACAGAGAGATAAAATGTAATACCTCATAATGTTAGCTATGTGGATGACACATGTTTGTGTACTTGCTTTCCACTGGGCACAAGACATCGATATCTATTAACAGGACTGGACTGGATTACCACAGCTGTGTGTGTGTGTGTGCGTATGCGTGCATGTTAACTGAGCCTTAGCCTACTTAAAACTGTCACATGTCACTTATATTCTGTTGCTCTGTGATCTTTGGCTGGGATGGGCTCTTGGCTTTGTGTGCCTCTGCCCCTCTTTCTCTGTTCTCTCTAATCCAAAACAAATAGTTTTCAGCAGGTTTTCATGAATATTTTAGCCATTTAGTCAACAGATTTACCAGAGAAACTGCCAATAAGTGCAGCATTAGAATTTGCTGATATTTTCTTAATAAAAGACATGAAATGAGCATCACAAACCAAACTAAAACAGCAAACTCTGACATGATGTTCACGGTGCCAGCAGTTGGTTGATGATTTGTTTCATTGTGAGTGATTTCAGGCGGAGCCAGAGGTTAAAACTGCATCTGTGTAGTGGTGTCATGCAGGCAAATCATTATTTCAGTGATTGCCTTTCATGATATTATGCAGTTAGGGTTAGGGTTCATATGTTTATCTTGCTAGCACAGATAGTATTGTATTTTTCATTGTTGTAGGCCAAAATGACATTCACCAATTGTAAAAATGAGTTGCCATTACTCACCAAATGAAATAAATGCTTAAACATTTTGTCAACTAATGTGCTTCGTATGTTACGTCATGATCTGGCGCCTTTTCCTCTATATTTTGTCGAACCTCAATAGCGAAGGCTACTAGTGTTGACTCTCCCTAGGCTGGCTATGGATTCCAAATTCCCTCCCAAATAGAAGAAAATAGAGAATTTAATAGTGCGTGGACAGATTTGTTTGCTTTCACCACAAACACCGCTGCCTTACTGATATGCTTGATCTGCCATGAGAAATGAGCAGGATAAGCCTCAAATATGTTTTGCGTTTTCTTTTTTCTTTTTTTTGCCAGAATGTATCTTTTGATACAAAAGGTTGCTGACCCCTGGACTAATCAATTAATCCTTTTGGCTGAAAAATGTTTTAAAAATATAGTGAAAAATGCCCATCACATTTCCAAGGGTAACTTTACAAATTGCTTGTTTTGTCTGGCCAACAGTCCAAAAGCTATCCTGTGAAAATTATATAAAACTGAAAAAAACTCATTTAAAAACACTCAATTGTTTCACCATTTGAACACTGTATGGATTTTTCTTTTTGCTTTTTTGCTTTAAATATTTCTATATTTATCCAGCACCTGATAAACAACTCCAACACTCCAAGTGATCCAATAAATTGACAATATTTTTCAATATGTGTGCGTGTGTGTGCATGTTAACTGAGCCCTAGCTTACTTAAAACTGTAACATGTCACTTATATTCTGTTGCTATGTGATCTTTGGCTAGGTTGGGCTGTTGGCTTTGTGTGCCTCTGTCCCTCTCTCTTCTCTCTAATCCAAAACAAATAGTTTTCAGCAGGTTTTCCATGAATATTACCAGATTTACCAGAGAAACTGCCAATAAGTGCAGCATTAGAATTTGCTGATATTTTCTTAATAAAAGACATGAAATGAGAATCACAAACCAAACAACAACAGCAAACACTGACATGATGTTCCCAGTGCCAGCAGTTGGTTGATGATTTGTTCTATTTTGAGTGATTTCAGGCAGAGCAAGAGGTTAAAACTACATCCGTGTAGAGGTGTCATGCAGGCAAATAATTATTTCAGTGATTGCCTTTCGTGATATTATGCCATTTTTACAAGTTCATATGTTTATCTTGCTAACACAGATAGTATTGTATGAAAATAATAACAAAATGCCTATAGCTTTCTTTACATTGACCACACAGTAGATATAGCCATATTCTGTTAAATAAAAGTAGTATCTGTAAGACTCAATGTTTGTTGTGGATCTGTACTAACATACAACTATTTATGTTTTTGCTAAATTTCTTAAATCTCTGTATGTTCTGACTCCATCATTTGCTTGAAAACTGTGTCATTCTCTCCTCCAGACGAGGTCCGTTGGATCCAGCTGACTACCCCATGCAGCCCTGGTCAGGTCATTACCCCGGACCTCCCCAGGCCCCACAGGGCTACCCTCAGTCCCCGTCCTACCCTAACCCCAACTCCCAGACTGGCCCGTCTTACTCCGGCTACCCATCTGGTCAGCCATATGCACGGCCAGGTGACCCTCGGGGCATTGACCCTGGGTACTTCCCCCACCCAAGGTAATTAAAAGCAAACTTTATGTCATGATCCATAATGCTGTATACAGTGGTTATACTCTAGCATGAGTAGTCTAAAAGTAAGGCCTGACTTCTAAACTCAAGTCTTGAATATTTCATAACTGTTTATTAAGTTTATTTAAGTTTATTATATGTATTATGAATACATTTTACTTGTATTATGCTGTTAAATCATACATTGGTTATTACGTCTTTTATTGTGAAACAGCACACCTGTCCTCACCTGTCCTTGCTCGGATTGTCATAATGGTTGACTTCTTCTTCTCCTAGCTCCCAGCAGAGAGGCCCCTTGCGCCAGGATGTGCCCCCGTCTCCCACCCCTCCACTACGTGGACTACGGTACGATACTATGACGCGTGGAACTGGGGGTGGAGCTTACAGGTAGGACCGATTTGTGGATGAAGATAATCCAGGTAAATTCTGAGATTTAAAATCTTCCTTTGTTTATCAATTAATTTTAACACATGAAACACAAGTGAAAACCTAATTTACTAGTTTGAGAGAAACAGCATTTTGTCGTACAAAATGAGTTATGTAATTAGAAAAGAAAGCAGTGTGTTCTATGTGCAAGTAACACCTCAAAAATTCACTATGCTCAGCATAAATCTGAGAACATGTTTGATTGGTTACAGGCACCTGGTGGACCCCAGTTCAGACCAATATGGCTATACTGGGGAGGGAGGAAGACAGCAACAGCAACACCAAACCAACTCAAGACAGAAGAATGCCATGACTGCAGCTGTGTAGACAAATCAGGTCCAGAGATGAAAATGAGCAGAATGTTAACTGCTTTGTGTTGTGCAGCTCTTCTGCTTTCAGTACTCCAATGAAAGAGTTGAAACCTCTTAATGGTGTGATTTGAATTACCATCATTATTGAGCATTGTCTACGCTGTTTGAAGTATATGGTAATACACAGACAAGCAAGGTAAAGGAGGTTAATTATAGAGTGGCCTGCGTGATGCATAATGTCTTGTTGTTTGAAGTCATTTAAATTGCTTTGAGTCTTCCCGGAGTGTAAAATTAGCAGGGTTTTTACTTTTCACTATACTCTGATTACCGTAAGTCATCTCTTTTAAGAATCAGACCAAAGCCACAAAGGTAATTGGATCCATTTAAATTAAGGTAATAACGAAATACATACAGCTCTACACATGTTCATATTGTACCAGGTGGTTTCACCGCTGCCACTTCATGAACAAGACAAAAAATAAAATACTTTATGTAACAAGTAATGACACTTTTTAGTGTTAGTATTTTTGTGCGATAAAGACAGTTTAAAGACAGGGAAGCGTCTGAGACTGTAGCTGTTTACAAAAATATGATTGAAAGGTTTGTATTCAACCTGTATGAATAGCAACAAATTAGTCTGAAGATATCATTCTTTGCTTTGTTAGTTAGTTAGTTTAATGGCTGCTGAATCAAAAAAATCATCAGAAATCTACAGGTACAAGACAGTATATGCATCCATGACAATAAATACACGTCATTTAAAATATGGATGACAGTTACAGGTATGTTATTAAAAGAAGTCCTGTTGTTTCAAATTGCCTAACAGGGAGAACGCCACTATACCAATTCTAATAATAATATATATTATGAAAATATAGATTTTGTACTCATGCCTAGTCTGATCTCTCACTACAGTATTTTTTCTCAGTGAATTATGGACACATTTGAATAATTGAAGTGCACTAAGGCACAGTAGAGCACTGTATGAATTGTCTTTACGTGTAAAAATGTGTTTTTAATAATGCTATGATTGCCTTCGAAAATATTTCTCTCAGTAGCGTTTAAATAATTTTTTTTGTCCAGGGTATAACTCAAGTCTGAAATCACTCTTGACTGTTAGTTTACAGAACTTATTAATGACCCTGTTCCTGCTTTAAAATGACAACATGTCAAATTAGATTGTAGAAGTACTGAATCTCAAATCTATATTCATTTATATTAATTTCAGGACATGTTACTATTATTGGACTGTTTCTCTTTATTTAAAACGACCTCCACTTGAATGTATGAAAGCTCCTTGGATAACCTGTACTCAATCCATGGAGTCAACCTGTGTTTGTTGAATCATTCCAGCGTGAGTTGGCGCTCACTTCTTGGTTTTCTATCAGCCCAATTAAGAGATAATACATTGCTTTAAATAAGGACCTTTTTTTTTTCAAAACTTCCACCAAAATGCTAATATCAACCTACAAACGTTGACATTCTGGAATAAGCTTCGTTAAGAACAAGATGACCATTTTGTATAAATACTGAAACCTCAGTTGAGGTAATACACACACCAAAGCAAGATGATTCCAGCACTTCATTTTAAACTGTTACAGCTTTTTACAGCTGCCTTCACGTCCACTTGGAGTAACCCCAAGTTTTTAGGCAGTATGTGTTTTTTTAAACATCTACTCTTTCATGTAATATGTCAAACCACTACAATGGCCTATCTTGTACTAGTACTCGTACTAATTGTGTTGTTGTTTTGAGTTGTTTAAGCCTCGCAGATATTCAGACTGCTGGGTAAAGCAGGCAGAAAAGGCATTTCAGGTCTTTAACTGACTAGTTGCAGAGCTCACTTTCACTCTGTATTACTTAGCAGCCTCTTTTTCTCTGTGCTGTCTGTGTATGCCATGTACTGTAGTTCGGATGTGATGGATGTTCATGGCACATCTCTGTGACCTGATGGTGTGGGCGTCACTGTGTGGTGAAGTGCACACAAGTCCTGTTGAAACATGAATTGAGCTTCAGAGTGCTCTTCTCAGTGCTGCACCACAGTGTATATCCATTTAGCCACTCACTAAACCGTCAATTAAGTGTAACTAAGAATTAGGGTCTAGCTTAACAATTCTGCGTTTCACTCCACAAAGCTCTGCAGTATTAATTTCAGCGGAGATTAAATGTAAAAAAATGACATTTCAGGATTAGGTGAATTGCATTTCTGTTAGGGGATGAAATGACACTAAAGTGAGTGTTGAGAGTAATTTAACTAAAACCCATGGAAAAAAATGTAAAGTAGATTTTGTCTGTTATTTGTTTGTTTAACAAATCTGAATATTGATTGAAAAGAGGGAAGTAGGCGGGCAGGCAGAAGGGTGTGTTAAAAGAATTCAAAAGGACGAAAGAAGAGAGGGGTAGGTAGACAATCAAGGAAGGAGTAATGAAGAAAAGGGACGAAGAGAGGGAAGATGTGTATTGATAAAGAGGGATTAAATAAATAATAGACTGAAAGTACGGATGGATGGAGGTGGAAGAAGTGCTAAGAACAGATGCAGTGCAATGACCCCAATGCCTTTGTGGTTCGATGGTTCGATTCAGAGAGTCTTTTCAAAGAACAACAGAGCAGAGAAAAGAATGAAAGTTCATAAAAAATCTGGGCGGCAGTTGATCTGCAGTAGGAGGAGGGTCACAGGAGTGGGCTTGTATTGACTGAATGTAATGACTTTGGGAATATTACAAATATTTGTCTTTTTCATGCTATTATCACTTTTCAGCACCAGTATGGAAATCAAACTTCCAAACAAAACTGTCAAAGTATTACTGAAAGAACACCAATGAAGCACATTTTTAGAAGACTGTTAACTCATCTGTCAAGTATAAAGAATCAACACCAAATTGATTCACGTCCCTATAGATCATTTTCTCAGTGATAACGCTGTAGTCAGCTGACACTTAAGCCTCCACAGTGGTGAGTGTGTAGGTCAAATAATAAATGGTAAATTGGGATTGGAGGGGAAAACAGTAAAACTTATATGCAATATTATAAATCCCAGCTAGGGCTGTCCTGGATACCATATTTGGGGTTCAAAGCAAATATTTGAAGCTCTATGAGCAGTCAGGGGATGAGTCCTTCTCCTGCACTCACTACCCACTACCCTTTGCCTAAACCAAATGGAGTATTTCAGGTGCAAGAGGGCAGCTCCAGAGTTCATTCAGTATGAGAAAAATATGCACTCTGAGGGGGTTGATGAGGCAAGGACCCAAAGCAAGCACATCACTACAGTTGCCAACCACAGATAACAGTTTGCATTTTGCCTCAGGTGTAATCATTGGAGGCTCTATTGGTGGTAATGAAATATAATATTGATAGGTCGGTAAGTATTTCAGGTGTATAAATCGCGAAAATAAGAATATGTTCTTACCCTCTAGAATGAGCCATTATACGGATGCCATGCGACTCCAGAGGTTATGCATGTGAATCACCATGTTTATACAGGAGCCCAGGAGGGACAAACCAAACACTGATTCTAAATATGGTTGTTCGCGTTTTTTGTGTGTTTCGCAGCCACTGTAGTTTGGGTGAAGCATGGACTTGGGATCTGCAACTGCACCATCTAGATGCCACTAAATCATACACACTGGACTTTTAAGAGCAAGGGATCAGGTTTGTACCTATCGTTTGAAACAGAAAGAAATGACCAGGACACTGTTCAATGCTTTGAAGCATTCAGAGTCAGCCCTACTCCCAGGACCTTCTGGGTGAAAAATGTGAATGTGTAGCCAGTATACAAAAACAAAACGATTTTTATTCATTTCTAAAAGGTCGGTTTTATCACTTTGTAATAATAGTAATCATAGTTGCTTGTGTACAGTATGTTAAAGAGTGCACATGGAGCGCCAGAGAAAATGATCTATTGTGGTCACATAGACAATTTTTACATTCCAAAAAACATATTACAATTCTTTAACACAGACTGAGCAGAATGCAAAGATTTAAGATGTCTTCTTGACTGTATCTGAATGCTGCGTCAGTGTCTGGTGAAACTTTGCTGAGCTACAGTATATTGAGATGTGAACATTACATGAAGGTGTATTATTGTTATTCTTCTGATACAAGTACACAATTCACATGTATGTAACTCTTCACAAGCATTTATTTTTTATGTATTTCTTGTTAATGATAGTCTGTGTTGTTGGTTCGGTATACCAGAGCCACAGAGTGTTTGGTTGCCGTTACCATGCTACTGCAAACTGAGTTCATTTTGGTTTTTCTAAGTTTCATATATGCAATTTACGTTAAATGAATTGAGTGTAATTGCAATAATAAGCACTTTGCTCAACTTGCTTCTTCAAAAATTGGCAAGAAAAATACGAAAAACATATTGAAGGCACTTTGCATGGTTAAGGTTAACGCGTCAAACGTTCTGTAAGGCTCTTTGGTTTTTGGCAGTACGGTATGAGTTGCACAATCTGAAGGTACTAACCAGAGTCTTTTTTCAATATGAAGAGTTCTGGTACTCCTGGTTCTCTCTTTACAGAGACCAATACAGTATATGAAGGAGCCAACTAAACAACCTCTCTGTCTTAGAAGTATAGCTTCTTTTTTATATTAAACTGCTTGTATCCAAAAACAAGTCTTATTTTATAATGATGTAACAATAACAATGATTGTTTTCCTACATTTTATATTTATGTATATAACATTGTTTTTTGCATTAAAATATTCATTTTAAAACAGGATTTGCCAAAGATGTCATACTTTAAATGTTTTAAACATGTCCTTCTTTTTTAAGCTACAATGCATGCCCAGCACATCTGCTAAGGTTAATTAAATATGAGTCAGGAGAAATTATTTCCCTCATGTCCCCCATACTGCAAGGTGAGTCATTAACATTGCCAACCCAATTTAGTCCATCATTTAAGCGGCAGATAAATTGTACCTTTGTGATAAGAGATAGATGTTGGCCCCGAATTAATGCAAGACTAATTATCAATTAGAAAAAGAAGATAAGGTACACTGATTGCAGCACAAAGTTTTTTGAGTTTTTCTGGCGCAGTGCCATCGCACTGTTAGGTCATATCCCTCCAGTTAATAAGCATTTAGTCACAGCCTGTGGCTTAAGGTGCTTTCTTATTTATCAGACACTATGGGAGCTGGACTCGGGGCTGCGATCACAGAAGTTAGAAGTAATGAGACACAGAGGCCAAGGGAATGTTTTATCAGTCAAGGCTTAATTAGCATATCCCAGACCTCTCGGCCAATGGGGAGAGGGAGAGGAAGTAATTCAATTCTCCTGAGTCACTGCCAAGGTTCGTTTTGTGCGCAGTGTTCAATATAGATGCACAAAGTGTGTCTGTGTGTTTCTGATTATAATGGCTTTTTAAGTCCTGCTGTTTGTGTTAATGCAGAGCCTAAATGAGTTAAAGACATTCATTGCGGTGCACTTCTAGGCTCTCGCTGTCTGGATCAGACATGTCATTGAAATGGAGCAAAGGAAAAGAGTGTGGAAGGACTGAACAACTGTTTACTTGACTGATAAACTTTTTACTCCACAGCTTTTTATAACTGCCTGGGTGATTGATTGAAAGAGTGAAAAGCGTGCTGGCTGTTAGATGAGATTTCCTGAGAAATCCTCACCACAATGATCACAGATCTGTGCAGCTTTCAGAAGCTTTAAGCTTAAACATTATGGATGAGTGTAAAAACGCAGACGAGCCAATTGTGCAGTACTTCTCCAACTTGAAACCCAATAATGGCTGCAAATAATCAGACGTTTTTTAGCTATTTTAGCAACCTTCAGTCCGCCCTCTGAAGAAGTGGGTGCAAACACAGTCAAAGGTCAGTGTATCAGGATGAGAAAAATGCTTTGTATTCTGGGTGAAGCAGACAAGATTTGTGGACTTGTATTTCCCACAACTTTCACAATTTACAATATTAAATAAGGGAAGTACTCCTTTAAGAAACCAAGAAGTTGATAGTATATCATCTGTTTCTGGGAGACGTCTGTCTTCTGGTCACAATCACTTAATGTAGCTTTAATTGACATGTAATTTGTTCAGATTATGACTAACCCTACAGTAATTTTGTAGGTTTCCTGAATGATGAGCTGACAAAAAAAACTGATGCTGTGTTTGAGAGACTGTCAAACAGCCTGCTCTGACTGCGTGAACTAGTCATTGACTGACTGGGTGTGTAATTGCTCCAACCTCCCTCCCAGTGCAGGTTTGGCATGCTGTAATTATTAGCAGTTATTATTAGTAGTTTTAATAATCATTGGAAGCCATTGTAATTAGGATTTCCTATTATGAGTGGCTGCCAGTTTGTGGACGTGTGAGTGTGTGTGTGTGCTTGGCAAGGTATTGTTCAGTTGTAGCTATTATTTGCAGCCTGGCAGCCTGCTTTTTGTTCCCTTGACTTCTGATTGTTTTTCATGTACACACTGTGCTTGAAGGCCATCCTTGGAACTGCCAGACCTCCCAAAATCCTCATTAATTATTGTCAACTAACAATCTTGTTTTCTCTATGACTGTGGACTCCTGATTCAAGTGTGACAAGCACGTATCACATCAGGAGTGGGGTGCTCCATCCACAAATGGATATGTGCACACACACATATCCATTTTAATCATGCTAATAAAAAATTACCACAGTGTCTGTGTTTGCTGCCTCTGGAACTTTGGAGAGTTTAAACCATCATTGACCGAAACTGATGGTGCAATTCAATATTGTATAAATCAGCATTGATATGCAGAAGTTATCCACAAGGTCAAATGTCAGTTTTCCATTAAGTCATCAGATTCGATCATCCCATTCAGCACTTTTTGTACACTTCATGAAAATACAGGAAACAACAGAGTGGAGCCTCAAGTCTCTCGCCCTTCAATGACGAGTCAGTGCAGTGCTGTTTTTAAAGAATTGTTTAACTTTGTGTTACATTTAAGGAAATATTCATACAGTACCTCAGGCTTCTGAACATTATAGCATCCATGTCACATGGCATTTGACATTTGACTTGCAACTCTTTAAACTCTTTGGGAGTTTATATATTCAACCAATGTTCTAGTGTAAATGAAACCTTTAAAATGTGGATTCAGCTTTGCCTCACCTGTGGGAATGTATGAACAACAAAATCACTACATACAAAAAGCAGAGAGAGCAGCGGTGGAAGTGTTGATTACTGCTGTGTGTGTGTGTGTGTGTGAGTCCCAAGATTCACATCCTGGCAGGGTCATGGACAGTGCATTAAGAACACTGACTGTGTCCTATTAAGTGTTTGTCAGTAAAAATTACATTTCCTCTGTCCCCTGTGCACAGTAATGACTTGTGGTAAACTCCAATGGCAGCTGTTTCCCTTTTCCCAGTCCTACACACACGCAGAACATGCGGCGACCCAGAGGTAACCTTGAGGCATCTTGCTTAAGCGCACATGCTCACACTTTCTCTCTTGTTGGATCCTCCAGGCCACTGAAGAGTTGAGGGTGGCTGGCTTTGTGTGCCAGACTCTGCCCCGCAGTACTGAGCCACACTGGGTGAGATTTCTTGGTGTGTATGTGTATGTGTGTGTGTGCTGCTGCTGTGTTAGGCTGCTTGCCAGCATTGTCTCATGATGCAAGTTCAATGTGGGACTGCCAGGACAGAGGAGAGCAGCCAGGAGTTGTACACAAACAGAAATCAGGTACACACAGATAAATAGGGGTATCATTTCTGTACTCAAAGGTACATTTGTCAGAAAAGTACCCTGTAATGTATGAAAAAGATGCTTTAGGTGGTAACTGTAGATCTTTGTTTATTTTTAAAGGTACAAGATCATGGCTGACAGAAAGGGGTACATAATTGTACTTTCAACAAGCTTAAGGTACAGGAAAATGTTACAGCAAATCAGTGATCACAAAATCTTGATTTAAATGGAGAGTTGGGTTTAATGAATAAAATAAGCTACTAGTAATTCTCCATTTAATTCTCGGCCCAATGGGAATTTAGTAATTTCATGAGCAAAGAACTAGGACAGCACTTCTGTTCAACTTTTTTAATTTTGCCACACAGACGTTTTGGGCACCCTTCTTCAGCGTGTATTGGCAAGTTCACATTGGATCTATTTCTGTGATTTTGTTAATTTAATAAAGTTGTGAAATGCTTGCCTTAACCATTACTGCCAATTTTATTTTATTGAACTATTATCACTGTTTTATTGTCAATCTATCTTCTCATTCTTCACATTCCTCCATGGGGACTCTCTTTTCTGTATTTATTTTATTTTATTTTATTTTATGCCGTGGCCCTCCCTTATGGAGCACCCTGCGGAGCTGGGTAGTACA